ACGAGTTATGGAAGTACGCACACGGGCAGATGGATACTTTCCGGCCACAATAGACAGTGCCGGGCGGTTAGTGCGGTAATGACCTTCGGATAGCTGTCCTCAGCAGCCGCTTTCGGATCACGGACGTCGTGGACCATTCACCCACCACTTCCAACCACAGCAGACAGTGCCTGCATGGCGGCAGATGGGCCGGGTACCACCAAACACTTCCGGTCACAATAGTCATTGCCAGGCGGCAGATGGGCTACCACAGACAACTTCCGGCCAACTCACTTACTGCCAGGTGCTGATGGATACCACCGACCACTAGCGGCCACCATAGATATTCCCGCCGGCAGATGGGTACCACAGGCAACTTCTGGCCACCATAGTCCCTGCCGTAGGCCCGACGGGGTACCGCCGACCACTTCCGGCACAACAGTCACTGCCCGGCGGCAAACGGGGTACCGCCGACCACTTCCGGCCACCATAGTCACCGCCGGGCGGCAGATGGAGTACCACCAATTACTTCCGGTCACAATAGTCACTGCCTGACCGCAGACGGGGTACCACTGACCACTTCCGGCCGCCATAGTCACCGCCGGGCGGCAGATGGAGTACCACCAATTACTTCCGGTCACAATAGTCACTGCCTGACCGCAGACGGGGTACCACTGACCACTTCCGGCCGCCATAGTCACCGCCGGGCGGCAGATGGAGTACCACCAATTACTTCCGGTCACAATAGTCACTGCCTGACCGCAAACGGGGTACCACTGACCACTTCCGGCCGCCATAGTCACCGCCGGGCGGCAGATGGAGTACCACCAATTACTTCCGGTCACAATAGTCACTGCCTGACCGCAGACGGGGTACCACTGACCACTTCCGGCCGCCATAGTCACCGCCGGGCGGCAGATGGAGTACCACCAATTACTTCCGGTCACAATAGTCACTGCCTGACCGCAGACGGGGTACCACTGACCACTTCCGGCCGCCATAGTCACCGCCGGGCGGCAGATGGAGTACCACCAATTACTTCCGGTCACAATAGTCACTGCCTGACCGCAAACGGGGTACCACTGACCACTTCCGGCCGCCATACTCACCGCCGGGCGGCAGATGGAGTACCACCAATTACTTCCGGTCACAATAGTCACTGCCTGACCGCAGACGGGGTACCACTGACCACTTCCGGCCGCCATAGTCACCGCCGGGCGGCAGATGGAGTACCACCAATTACTTCCGGTCACAATAGTCACTGCCTGACGGCCATCGGGGTACCACTGACCACTTCCGGCCGCCATAGTCACCGCCGGGCGGCAGATGGAGTACCACCAATTACTGCCGGTCACAATAGTCACTGCTTGGCGGCAGAAGGGGTAGAACCAAACACTCCCGGTCACAAAATGGTTACTGTCCGGCGGCAGATCGGGCACCACGGACAACTTCTGGTCACCATAGTCGTTGCCGTAGGCCCGACGGGGTACCGCCGACCACTTCCGGCATAACAGTCACTGCCCGGCGGCAAACGGGGTACCGCCGACCACTTCCGACACAACAGTCATTGCCGGGCGGCAAACGGGGTAACCAACCGCTTCCGGGCACAATTATCACTGCCGCAGATGGGGTGCCGCCTACCATTTCCGGCCACCACACTCAGTGCCGGGAAGCAGTTGCGCTCCAACCAGTCACTTCCGGTAACGGTAGGCACTGCCCTGCGGCAAATGGGGAACCTTTTCAGTAATTGAGAACTGTAGTGATTTTCGGTATACTATGGCGGAAGTTTCCACACTTCCCCATCCTTATTACATGCACAGCTGTGCAACAAAGCACTACCAAAAATCAAGGACGAAAGACAGTTAACAAAATCGTAAAACAATCGGAAGAATAATAATTCCAAAAATTCTTACGCTAAACCCTATAATTATACAGCGTTTACAGTCTGGGCAACTTACCAGGGCCCCGTCACCGGCTATTAATTCAGAAAAACTTGATATTTTATGGAAAGATAGAGGAATACTGGAATAAGCAAAAACAACTATTTTCGGCTGCGTGATGAAGGGGTGTGGCCAGCACAAAAATTGAAAGTAAATTCTACACTGTGCTGTAGCCTATGGGCAGCGTACCGCAGAACAACCTCTGCGAGGCCAGTTTAACTTTAAATGCTTTCTCAAAATTTTTATGCATTTCTTAAATACTTAAGCATACATAAATTTAACAATGCAGCTGCTTGTGAAACGGGTTTGCCAATGGTACGTACGCAGTCCGCGCTTCAGCTTGTTTCTGCCGAGAGAGATCGGTGCGCGCGTTGCAACTTTTCGATCTCGTAACAGCTGAAAAACACTTCGTGGCATTTCCTCGCGGAAATAGTTCCGTCGGCTGAATACATGAGACTTTCTATAGTCTGTATAAGGCTTGCTCCTGAACGGTGTACGGGAGTCTTTAACTAAATTGCGGCACGCACCTGATTGAAACAAGTTTGGAGGATGGTTAAATACTATACAATGTACGACGAGAGCATATTATTTACAGAGCGGTCCATTATTTTTTCTTGAACTTATTGTTGATTTTGTTTGCCATAATGCTGGCGAAGTTTTGCCAGCTGTCTAGCAGCAACGTAGCTGAAGTACGCGTGCGGTGGCCAATGCAGCACGCTGCTGGAAACAAAATCTTCAAAAATTCGTTAGTTTGTTAATTATCGTGTTAAATTCTTTTGTATTAGTTTAAAAAATACAAAATAACGCATACCCTTAGGCAAGACAACTGATCTTTCGTTTTTATTTTCGGGTTATTCACTATGAGCCTTTGATAATAATATACCTGTCTATGGAAGACTCATTCGAGATTTTAAATAGGCGGCTATGCTAAGCACGTATGCTCTCAGTGCCAAAACTCGAAACAAAACTAGAAAATCAGTTATTCTGCCTAATTGTATGCATTATTTTAAATTTTTAAGCGCATACAATAAATTTAGCACGGAAATAACGTAGTTACGAATTTTTGAAGATTTTCATTCCAGCAGCGCGCTGCTGGAATTAGAACGTGCTCATTCTAGAACCCATTTGCTTCCTAAAATTAGCCTCCTAAGTGTGCGTGGATTGAACCAAACTGAAAAATTTGATATTTAAAAAAAAAACCTGTTAACAGCCGCACTGTAACTGATGCAACTGCAAAGAAGCAAACAGGCGACGGTTTAATGCAGTTTTAGACGGCTGGTTGTTTTCTTCGGACTTGCAAGATAACTCCAACTCTTGCATCTCGATCAGTTATTGTTTAAATCAAACCAACTTCAAAAATTTAGGAAAACAAGCTGTTTTCTGTGATGACTTTTGTCGCTGTCAAAAAATATCCATATATGCGGAATCACGCTTACGAAACATTAGAAGTTCACTTTGAACAAGTGATAAGAATGCAACATTTGTACGTTGTACTCCATAGCAGGCGCCTGAAGTTTCTCTGGTGCTCGAGAACCGGTAATTAGAATTTTGCCTTTTTCAGGTTTCCAATCCAAAAGGCCTTTTCTAGAAAATTTGAGGAATTTCTGATCCTGTATCTTTGTGCATGCATATAAGGATTTTGCGTTTAATGTAATTGCTAATATCCATACAAAGTCCATGCTTGGGAGATACAGCAAAATTGAATGAGTCGACAGCGCTCAAAGCTAGCGTTCAAGTTGATATAGTCTGGAACACAACCAGCGGTCAGCGGCTTACTTAAGTAAAATAAACCAACAACTGTGGATGGCTGCACAGTTACACTGCCTGCAATGCTAAGCTATCCTCTTATAAGGTATTAACCGTTCATAAGCAAGCCGTATATACTTACAGTCTTTGTATTATAACGTATACAGTATCTTTGTGTATGCATAACTCACTGCACTCTGCAGGGTTTTGCCTCCGGAAAATACTAAACCACTCCCCTAAAATGGGCGAATCAAAGGCGTGTAACGTTTTGGTTACGAATCTCCATAGAAAAACCAAAAACAAGCCGTTAACACTATTCCTATGCAAAGATTAGTCTTCTTCTTTTCATAGTGTTAAGTCTGCATCTGTGTGCAGCCAACGGAAAAATTGTTAACACAAATCACATATAATTTCTGCTGAAAAACGTAAGTGTTAACTGTATCGTCTCCAAAAACGGTGAACGAGTATTTAAAGTTAAACTGACCTCGTACAGACTGTTCGGCATTAGCGGGATAATACTGCATTCAGCATAAGCGATAGTTCCCATAGACTGCACAGTCAGCACATTGTGAAATTTAGTTTCAAATTTTGTTCTGATCACGCCCATTCATCACAGCTGAAAATAATTCTTTTGCTTATTCCAGTGTTCCTCTATCTTTCTGCAAAAGATCAAGTTTTTCTGAAATTGTAGCCGGTGACGGGGCCCTGGTTAGTACACGTGACGCCGTGTGCCTTTTCTGAGGTAGACCTTCCGTTTTTGTTTTTGCAGCAGGGTGGACTAGTCCAATAGCCTTCTGACGATAAATATGACTCGGAAGTTTAAGGAACAGAGCTTCTGGTTCTGATTTGGGCACAAGACCTGGATGAACTGAAGCGAAGTTTACTCAACGCGCATGCAGCAGTAAACGCGCTTGACTGCAGAGTTTCTGATTTCAACTTAAAAGTTTCGAAATGATAGGACAAAGTTGGATGCAAAGGAGGAAACACGAAACCTTCATTGCGTCAGACTGCATGTTAATTAAGGTGTTCAAACGATAGTCGGTGTAGACTCAAAAACAGTAATGCGACAGTATACTATACAAAGTGACAAACCAGTGAAACTGCCAAATTCGCAGTCAACATAGAACAATGTAGTACTTAATGTACAGTCTGTACCATGTGGAACCGGAAATGGTTTTATACTGTACTTATGTTAGTACAGTACGTATAAAACCATTTCCGGTTGTGTGACACCCGTTGGCAGTATGACCTAACGTCGATACGCGTGCTGCACATCAGCTCGTTTAAATGCACGTTAATATCCATACGAGCTAGTTATACGTACATGCTGGCGTTTCGTGATAAAAGCGGTCAGAAATTAAATAAACTTTTTTACTTAATTGAGTAATCCTGGTAGCGGCTGTGAATGTGGATGTGGTGCAGAGAAAATATTTTTCTATCAGTTCTACGTATACCTGTATCGATAGCTATTAACTGATATGCCTGAGAGATGGCTGGAAGCTAAGGGTTTTCTCTTGGATATGACTGGGGTGCTGTACGATAGTTATGGCTTGACAGGAACGGCCATTCCCGGATCCTGTGAAGCCCTGCAGCTGCTGCGGCAGCATCATGTTCCCTTTCGTTTTGTCACCAATGAAAGCACCTCCGACCGCCAGTTCTTAGCCATGGTCCTCAGTACACTGGGCTTGCAGATCGATGCGCAGGAGATCATCGCACCTGCACCACAAGTTGTCAAGGTAGCTCCAGGTACTGGTATCTCAGCTGTTTGGCTCCGCATTGACTTTGTAACAAAGACGAAACAAACTAAGACAACCAAGTCTTTGTTGCTAGGGTAGACTTTGTTTCGTGACTTGTAGTACGCTGAAATTCGTTCTCTCCTGAACCGTTCTACCTTTTCAAATTGTTATAATTATAATTATTTTGATTTATAATTATTGTTATTATTACGAAAATATGTTCGTAATAATATGGTATTACGAAAATATATTGCATCATATATAATATATAAAAATATATTGAAAATATATTGCATATATAATTATACAGGTCCGCTGTGTGAGCTAGCAATATTGAAAAAAACTGAATTAGTAAACTCCGCGACCGTTTAACAGAAAATAGGTGGTATGTGTGTCGATCGGCAGTCGACGGCAGACAGACTATTCATCCAGGCTTCTTGAGTCTTAATAACAGTTCTTTCATTGCGTTGCATCACTTGAATGCATAGCTAGTTCTGACTGCATAATGAAAAAACGAGCTCACGAAAAAGATGCGAAATTACGTTGCAAAAAGTTTTTGAAAGCACTGAAATCAGAAATGAATATTCAGTTTATTGTGCCATAGTATGCCGTTGTGCTAGAAGTTGGTTAAGTATATTGTACTCTATAATATAATAATTATAGACTCTATAATTATTGTAAAGATGTTTCCTCCATAGATCGTGCGGGAGCGCGGTCTGCGCCCGTTCCTCCTGGTCAAAGACACGGTCCTCCAGGAATTTGCCGGCCTGAAGACCACAAACCCCAATTGCGTGGTACTTGGCGACGCACAGGACGACTTCTCCTATGAAAACGTCAACCGCGCCTTCTCCATCCTCATGAACCTTCCGAAGCCTGTCCTGCTTTCCATGGGCTGCGGTCGCTACTACAAGGAGACCGACGGTCTGAAGATGGACGTGGGCGCCTACTGTAAAGCTCTGGAGTACGCCTGCGGTATCCAGGCGGAATGCTGCGGTAAACCCGATCCGCGCTTCTTCCAGATGGCCCTGGACAGTCTCGGGCTGGAGGCGGACGCGGTGGTGATGGTGGGGGACGATGTGCGGAATGATGTCAACGGGGCGCAGAGGGTCGGCATGAGGGGAGTGCTGGTGAAGACGGGCAAGTACCGCACGGGCGACGAGGAGCACGGAGAGAGACGGCCCGATGCTGTGATGGAAAATTTGTTGGAGGTTGTCAGAATGTACTTACACAGTACATAGATGCCGTAACATAAGCGAGTGAAAATTACAGTATATTTCCATTTTTGTTTCTCGGCGAGAAGCGATTTTGTGTATATAAGAGAATTTTTGCTTATACGTGTGCAGTTCCGACTTTTTTAATTTTCGACGTGCTCATATAGCCTCATATGTTTTAATGTGTGGTCACTTGTGGTGTGTATGAGGGTTTTTGGCTTGCGCCATCTACTGCCGGATGTGGCTTGATCAGACCGCGTTTGCCGTGTGATTACACAAGCTGTTAGAACGCTGGAGATTTGATCTCGACAAAATTATATTAACTTTTCTGTTAGTTTGGTTAGCAGCTTTCAGTTTTTTCACCTCCACTTCTCAGCGGACAGACATTAAGAGAAAGCCATAATAAGAGAAGCAATGTGCCAGGTTCCGCTGGATCTGGGCCAAATCATACAAACTGTAAGGTATTGCGCCGATTGCGCGACCCCCGTAAGTTCCGTAACACTGTATCCGACATCCACGGAAAACATTCTGCGGAAGCACATTAAGCGGGTACTCGTAGGGATTAGTAGGGAAACAACGAGTACAGATGTAAGTAATAACTGATGCAGGGCGACGGGCGGCAGCCAGTGCCAGCCACTGCAGGGGATACGGGAAATTATTCCCGGTGCTCGTCGAGACAGATACACTGCGGGTTTTGGCATCGTTCAAACGGAGGTCCCGGATCGTATCCACGGGGGTTGCGATGTGAATGCGTTGTGTATCTGTGGTCAGTTGTAGAAAGGGGTCTGTGGATAATGGCAACCCGTAATGGACGGTGCGAGGCATGAGTGATGCAATGCTAACGGAGGTTATTTGAAATCCCTGCGGCGACACGACCTAAGGATACGGAAGGACACCTCACTGTTCGCATTTCAGATTTGATGTCGATTATCCACGGCTGGAAGAAAAAGCTAACAAAGCACCTGTCAAAAAAAGCGATTTTCGACTGTATTTCGGTTGCTGCTGTTAAAGACACGCTCATCTCTTGGCACTCCATGGCTCCAACGATGCAGAAAAACAATAGTAACCATAAAAACATTAACTAAATGTTTTTGATCTGATCTGGAAATCTACAAGATTGTTGTTTGTTTTGGTGACAACTCAGCGTGGACTGTACAGTGGACACCTTGTATAAATAGTTGTATTTACGATTAAATCCATATAAGTTATAACCCTGTTAAATGCGTAGGCGACAGGGCAACCGCGAATGGACGGCAGTTCGTGAAAACCGACGCGTGTCCGGAAGTCACTTGTTCTGTTTCCTGTTGCTGCGCACGTTGCCAGCCGCCACTTGCAAGTGGCCACAAATGTTACATGACTATTAATTTTTAATTGCTTTTTACAGCACATGAGTTACATGACTATTTTTAATTGCTTTTTACAGCACATGATAGTGGTACTGATGGTAGTCGCTGTTGGCGCTAGTGCTACACAGATGCGAGTAAGGTCCTTACTCGCATCTGCTACACTTGATTTTCTGTTCTAGGATGTAGGAACACTCGGAAAGCCAGTTCGGGATTCAGGCTGGGATTGCAGACTGGCATTGTGTCATTTTGACGTCACTAACAGACAGGGATTTTTCAGTGCGCCAACAGGAGGTTTACGCATTCGCTCTGTTTCTGTTTGCGTGCTGTCGTATGGGCGGTAGTGCGATACCGTGGCCATAGCACTGGCGCTTAATTTAAGGATAATGTAAACATTTTTATAACACATTTGTCGCCTTATTTGCAGAGGATGGTTTTCTGTAAATTTTCGTTTAACTGCATAATTAACAAACAGCATAGTTTGCGAACGCGCACTGTTTAAAAAGTGTAGGAATAAGCACTTGTTGTTATGGGCCTACGATGACTTCCCAGTGTAGCTTAGGCGTACGGCTCCAACCGCCACAGGGCGTCATCCTGGCCAGAATCGTAAATGAGTGTGTCTGGGCTAGCGCCGCCCCTCTACAGAATGCATGCATACACTCACCGTGACTCGTGGATCGTACTGTATTGATTTTAAATCTTGCTGCAAAATTCATTTCTCCGCGTTGCACGGAGAAGCGCATTCAGATTTATAGCAGGTTATCAGTTATGGCTCATTGTCGTACGGTTTGCCTTCAGCGATGAGTGCCGTCTCAAAATTATTAAAAATCACGTTTTTGCGATAGCAGCGGAGCTGGTTTGATAATTTTGCATCGAATGTTGGAATCGCTGAAGTTTCGGTTCTGACTTCTGCGCCTAATCTCGCACACCAAATTCCTTGGTGTCATTTGGTTGTCTGTGCCGCAGTGCTGATCATCGTCGACAATGTCTTCTGCGCCGCGCGATACCAATCTGTCAGCAGTGCTGCAGTCCGTGAAGAATCTGCGTCTGGTGAGTAACTGAGTATCCGTATCCGTAACAAATCTGAAGGAAATCTGGGTCCTGGGTCCACTCTACAGTGTCATGTGATTGCAGGAGGAGATGCCGATCCCCCAACCAGGCCCCAATGGTAAGTTGTCGTCTGCATCACCAGGAAAACAATGGCGTATTTAAATTAGATAAATTAAATTAAAATAATCATTTAATAGTCGTATTTGCGAGCGAAGAAACGGGCGGCGGATTTATTTGTCCAACAATTACTGCTGGAATTTGGAGAAATTGTTCATTAATTCATTATTCATTAATCCATTTATTATTTTTACACAAATTATAAGACAGCCCTGAGATTGGTATTGATGTATTTCTTCGTGTATTGCAGAAGTGCAGATCGCTGTTCAAAAAGTCGGAATCTGCGGCACGGACGTTCATTTCTGGTACGCTGGTTTTCTCTTTATAAAAACCTCAGTTTAAGGTTGAAATTCAGCACACCTTCGAAATGAGACCAAATAAAAAGAATAATTGTGCAGTTTAAGAATCCCGAATAATTTTTGGGTCCAACAAGCAGCTAAATAAAGTATTTATTGCACGTTATTTTTTTTTCAGCCATGATTTCGTTATTTGGCAATTTAGTCTGTTGGCACTGAATTTGTTTAGTTTCTTCAGGGGAATTTATTTAAATACAAATAAAAAAAACTGAATATCTGGATTCACACTATTTTAAATTCTGGAAACCTTGTTTGTGGTTGAAACTTGAAATGGTGCGATTTCGAAGCAAGGCAAAAAAATCTGAAAAAACAATTCGATTTTCGAAATGTTAGCAATTTAAATATGACAGCCACTGCAACACGAAACTATCCTAAAAATACCTAATGATTTCTGAAAATTATTTAAAAGGACTTTAAAGTGAGGGATATAAAACTGTTAGAAAATATAAAACATAATATAAAAAATGGAGCAATCGAAAATTCTGTACAGAGGTGTATTTATTACTGCTGGATATATTTAGACGGGTTTTTCTTGTGCTGCACGCAGGCGAAATCAATGGGTTCGCGCAGTTTGGCTTAGCATCGTGTGGTACACAGGACACACGTCATATGTATGTGTTCCTGCACCTTGTTTTTCGTTTTTTTTTTCAAAAATTCATAGAGAAAGAGTTGTGTTTTCCTTGGTAGAGTCTGAGCAAACATAATGACATCGTAGAAATTTGCGCAGCAGAATTTTTCGCAGGCTGCCACACCAGGAGGCGGCCAGTTGATCACGAACCGGAAACGGTTAAAATTCCTAGTTTTGAGAATCTTCAGAGATCTGTTTAAACTGTGGGTTTGCGCAGGCGAACAGGAAACAAGTTTCTGGGGATTCCGCCTGAATAGGAAGAAATTACTGCCTCTAGGATATTTTTTAAATAATTTTTGAGTGATTAACTGGCGGCGCTAGGACGTCCATTTGCGAATTACCCAGTACGCAATCCTGGCCAAAACTGCTTCGACTTTTTTCACCAGTTTTTAATTAAGTACAAAACTTTTTCTCTTAAAAAAATTAAAAACTGGTTAAAATAAATCGTTAAGTTGGGTTAATCAAATTATCAAATCTATGATTGATTTCTAAATAATTTAAAATTGATTTACTGAATACAAAATTATTTATTTCAATTTAAAATCTGTTATCAGTAATCACTGATCGAGAAGCGCATAATTTAGGCTCGTGGCATCCATACTTTATAGTTCGAAAACGTTTTTGTCGGAATACTCGTACCCTAACTGCAAATTAATTGCTTTAGCAGCTCATGGTTAAATTTTGCAGGCAAAGCGGACACATGGGAGATTATTTACTCAAAGGTATGGCCCAAATGTTTGGGGATACTGTACAATCAGGAAGGATCGTTTTACCCACATTCCGGATTTGTGTGCTGCTGTTTCATGCTACTGTGCTGAACTTTTCACTCGAATTGCAGCGCCTGTCGTCCTGGGACACGAAGCCAGTGGCATTGTTTCCGCCGTCGGCGAAGGCGTTACCAGCCTGAAAATAGGTGAGACGCAGCTGTTTTGTAGATTCGTTCACGCTATCTTGTTGTTGTGATGACTTTCCGAAAAAGATTTGAAAAAATTTCAAAGCGGGGAATATTAATTTATTTAAAAATATACAACAGATTGCAATAATAGATTGCGTAATTGTGTAAAGCTTGTTTCCACAGGGAACGTTATATAGTTTATACCGTGATCTCCTCTTATATTTAATTTCTACGCTGGTTTAGTAAAACTATGGAATTTTCGTTGGGGTAACTGTTGCACCTTCATACAAGATATTTTCCTAATTTTGTTAAAGAATTTTTTTTCTTATTAAACTATATGTGCCCAGTTGCATTTTGATGTTAGCAGAGTTTGAATTAGTTGTGGCCAACTGGCCATTCCCTCAGGGTGGTGAATTTTAAAGCATAACAATAGAATACAGTAGAAATAAAGTATAATTTTAGACAAATTAAAATACCATAAAATGCAGCGCAAAAATGCTTTGCTTGATTTCGATATAATGTGTTGCGTCGGCAGTATGCCTAAATGAATACATTTTCCATGAGAGAATGTCCTTGTCCCAGAATAATACTCTGCGCCATAGGAGTTGGTACTTGACCTGTTTCTGAAAATGTTCGAGAATGCATTTGCCAGTAAGGCCAACTCGAGTAGCTATTCTGCATAGTTGACAGATCATTGCTAGTCGGATCGCATTCTTTGCTGGTATGGTATGAAGTGGATATTTAAATTTATACGTCAGAGTTCAGCCCCGTTATCGTTAAACTGCAGGCGACCGTGTGGCCATCGAGCCGGGCGTCCCCTGCGGACGGTGTGAGTACAGCAAGGAGGGCCGCTACAATTTGTGCCCGCACGTCAAGTTCTGCGCGCAACCGCCCTTCCACGGCACCCTCACGCGCTACTACGTCCATGACGCCAGTTTCTGCTACAAGTGCGTACTGGTCAATTAATGCCTATCTGCATTTCCGCTGAACGCGCTCACTGTACTGGTGGTGCTTGTATCGCCGTTAACGATTACTGTTTCCGTGCTGTAGACTTCCGGATAATGTGTCTCTGGAAGAAGGCGCCTTGTGTGAACCGCTAGCCATCGCTGTTCACTCGTGTCGCCGAGCAGGAATCGAAATCGGTCACAAAGTTCTCGTTTGTGGAGCAGGTAACTGACACCTTCTTACTGAGCGTTTAATTTAGTGATTACGAAATTTTAACGAACAAGATTTTTGAAGATTCTTTGCCCGTTGATTTATGCACATTAATATATTTCATAATAATAATAATATTTCTCTCTCCACATAATATGCAAAATAATGATATTGTGCATAAAAATACTCTTATGCATAATATTTGTACTAATATTATGCATAGGAATATTGTTTCTCTCTCCACTTTTTTGCGCATTTGCTTTCCCATGTATTCTGATTGCAGCTTCGATCGAATTACTTCGCAGATAGAAGTATATCTTATTAACTATTAAGATACGCTGCATGGACAAACTGATTTTGCAGGTCCCATCGGCCTGGTGAACGTGCTGGCCGCACGCGCGATGGGCGCTTCGAAGATCGTCATTACCGGTAAATAAAAAGAATTTTTTACAATTCGATTAACGGCATTTAATTGCCATTTATTTCCAGATGTGGTGGAAGATCGGCTGAAGTTCGCTAAAGAATTGGGCGCTGACCATACAATCAATGTGGCGGGCAAAAATGCCAAAGCCGTCGCGGCACTGGTGGAGGAAGCGCTTGGTCGTCACGCGGACTGCACTATCGAGTGCAGCGGCTTCGAAACCAGCCAGGCGGCGGCTATTTACGTAGGGAGAAAATACGCTTCAGCGATTTCTGCGATACATATATTAAAAATTATATTTTTAAACTATGTTAACGGTTTCTTAAATTTTTAAACAGTTATAAAAATTACTTACAAATTGTAGAAAATTGTTAAAAAAATGTTAATATAATATTATTGAAAAATTAATATCAAGTAAATTTCATATTAATAATTTTATGTTAAAAATTTTCTGGTAAGCGTACTTCTATTGATAACCTTGCCGACAGTCAAGGTATCGTTATTTGGCTGTCGATGACTTTTATCTCCAGCGTCGTTTGTCTCATGTATTCGATTTTTTTGAAATTTCGTTAATGACTATCATCCCAGCCGGTCTGTGAATTAAATTTTTCTCATTGCAGTCCACCAAGTCTGGCGGCTGTGTCGTGCTGGTGGGCATGGGCGCAATGGAGAACAAGCTGCCGGTGATGGATGCGCTGTGCCGCGAAGTGGACCTTCGCGGTTCTTTCCGCCTCCTCAACTGGTGAGCAAATGCGATCATGCACCTTAATCATACGTACTAGATCAGTCTTGACCATGTTATCGTTATGCAGCTATCCCATGGCGCTGGAAATGATGGCTTCCGGCCGTGTCGACGCCAAGCCCTTGGTGACGCACCGCTACGCCCTGGAGCAGGCGCTGGACGCCTTCGAGACGGCCCGCACCGGCGCCGGCATTAAGGTCATCATCGACTGCAGTCGGCAGCAGTGAATGTTCACATGTTCGTCACTCTGGCAGCAGTCAGTTGGGCTTATTTAGTTCTTCTTGGCATAATCGAAAGATAATACGATTACGGATTGATACGGTTGATTACTTTCCGCTTGATTTCGTTTTTCCCGCTTTGATTCATGTCCATCTGCGATTATGGATCTGCATTTATGTATCACTTTAACCTGCGCCCCATAAGTCTTTGATATACTGTGTTGTCGAGTCAACTTGGCACCTTTTTTTAAAGTGAGTTGTATCCGCTTAGCGCATAACTCACTGTACGAAAAGGTGCCAAGTTGACTCGACAACACAGTAGTCTTTAACTGATTAATTTAATTCAAATAATTTTATAAAGATTTATGATAAAGTTTTCGGCTGGAACTGCGTTTGTGCCCTCATACCGGTAACTTGGTAACAACGATATACGTACAACAACAATGGACTGGAGAAATTTACCCTCTGGAGAAGACTTAAAATTCGATTCATAATAAACACAGCATCTGGAAAATTCGATTCTCTGGAAAATTCAATTCCTAATAAACACAGCATCGCTTTCAAGAGACCCACACATGTAAACGCTTCTGTAACAAACGAATTATGCGGGGATACACTGCTGTAGTACAGTGATCAGGAGTCAGGATATACAGCTGTCCACCGGCTAGGTAGATAACTGGATCGATAAAAGGTTCGGCAAGAAAAGTGAGCATGGACGTCAGTCTGCACGCTCAAGACATGTGTTGAGTGTGTTATCAGAAAATATTCCATGTTATTAGACGATATTCCACAAAGTGTTGCTCTTCCCAGTCTAGAATTGTCCTTTGATTGTCAAGCTCGGGTGGGATATATATACTGTACTTCTATACAAGTATGTATAATTGCATAAGCCAACACACGCGAACAGTCTGCTTCGCATATGCCAACCGCCTGGGTTGGCAAAGCTCCTTTGATTTTGGTAACTGGTTTACGTTAAACAGCCAGGCGCCAGGTTGACCCGCAAACTGTCTTTCCGAATATGAAAGCGGCACAGCGTCTTGTGCGAGCGTTTATACCTAACTGTACATAGTTCGGCTTCTTCTGTCGAAAAGTGCATCTAAATTCCTCTTTGAGATAGCTGTTAATGCAGTTCACTTGGTTTATTCACTTGTGTAAAACTGAGTTTTCTCTGTTAATTTTGGTGCGATTTTTACAAAAAACTGGCAACACTACCAGAAAACCAAAATTTTGTTAAAATAATACACATTGTATCCTGCTCAGTGAATCAGTGATATACAGGAAGTAGTGTAACTGGCGTTGGTACCTAGATGACTGCTCTACAAAACCGACACAACTGGTTATCCGGTGTAGCAGCCATATGTTACGTACTGGACAGCTTTGTACATGTAATTTGGATTTGGTCACATTATGTACAGCCGTGTGGAACATCTTGTACTGCATCGCTGGAATTCTATACACTGTCTGCTGATTTCTGCCAAAATTTTATTAGAAACCCTCAACGCGTGCAGTTTTCAGAACAGCCAATGACGCATTAAAATATGCAGCAAAACAAAATCCAGAGCACTGCACATTAAGCAACGGTAGATGTTGTGGAAATGATAATAACGTTAAAAAAACTAAACGTTTTTGCCAGAAAACCCTTTGCAGTGCCTCGGAAGGTGTCGCTCAATTGTAAAAAAACAAAGAAATCCATAGGGCGACTGGACCAGCACAATTTGTATCTACTGACATGTGCAGCAGTTCCAGCCAAGTACGGTATTCTGTTTGGGATCGCTTAGTTTCCCGCTCTGGACAAGCTGAAACTGCAGCAGCGCCGTAAGTTCCAATCTGGACATATCAAAAGCGTTAGTGTTGCGCTACGGCTTCTCAAACAATTTTTATATTTCCGTCCAACAGAATGAACAGATGTATCTTCAGCCGGAAAATTTACCATCCGAAAGAAGGTATCGCAGGTTTCGCCCATTAGAAATAAATTGAGAAAGTTTTGTACATGCTTTCATTGTCAACAATGTAGTGCAGGTTTCTTCCCGATGCCAATCAGCGATCAGTATTAAGAACCCATTCTTTCTCTTTCTCCTCCGAAAAATATGTTTTGCAAAGCGTGCTTTTGACGTCCTCTGGTGCGAAGGAAGCTTTCAGCGCTGAACGATTAATCCGGAAAAAATCCGATGCACCGAATCCACAGTTTTCATGCAGTAAAGCGTAATCGTCTACAAAATATTGCACGTTTTGCCAACATTCAAGAAGAAGTTGCAACACAGCAAAAATCAGTGAGGTGACAAGCAATGACAAATCATCCTTAAGCACCCACCAGAAAGACAAGTCCCAAAACATGCCGGATCGTCGCTGTTGATTGAGAGACTGAATCCGCTGCTATTGAACTTTGTGACGGGATGCTCGCTGGCAACCTTCACTTCACCGGTGCATAAGTTACTGATGGGACTGATTTCAAGGTGGATCATATGTTGTCGCAGGTACTCAAACACCGCCGCGTTATACACGACCTTAATGCCATGACCAATCCGCTCTAGGAATAAGAAAGCAATAACGAGTTGCGCATATTAGTTATACGTACTATATACGTAGTTAATATCTGCATATTAATGATGTACTGGGTGTGCGTAGGCTAAACGTTAACTGTCGATAGTCAAGCCGTACTTGCATGCAGTTTCTCCACAGCAATCTGGGCATTCATCGGCTCGCTGCTTTCAGCTGCGTGGATGGTGATATCCATACCGGCGTCGTAGATTTGGTTCAAGAACGTATCATACCGACTAAGATCCTCTTCCGGTCCACACAAATCGAAAGCCACAAAGTCCTGCCTGTCGGTAACAACCAGAAATTGTGCGGTTAACAATACAATTCCAGATTACATCTGCGCCTCTCACCTGACCAATTATTATACTCGTTACACCAACATTTAACACCAAAGCTAACACAAATTTTGCTCATAGAGTAAAACTGGTGTTCGTAGTCTTGGGTCAGAGTACCGATTGTGCCCATATGCAATACACAGACTCATGCATACGCTTTGATTAAACCTATTCTCCTCGTTCGTTGCGCTTTAAGCAGTGAGGTAAGCAGATTAGAATAAACTTGTATGCGCTGTTGTACGTACCGGTGCTTGATTACGAAATCCACCACCTTCTGCAGTGAGTCGCTTCCCAGCACAGCCAGTCCCGATGCGATAAGGTAGACATGGATTTCCTTTCCCTGTTCCCTAGCTTTGCTGATACCGGAGGCGATGCCTTTTTGTACAGCCCCTAGCGCGTCTTCCATGGATATCTTGCCTCTACATTTCCGCTCCATAAACGGTGGGCAATATCGCAGCTCCAGTAGCCTGCCGGTGAAAAATCAGTTGTACGTGTGCGGAACTTGATTAATATCGGATGCATCAACTTAATCGCATAATTAAACGAGTTTTGACTGTACACGTCAGATATGCAATATGCAAGCCAGATCAAAGACCCGGTGTATGTTTCACAGTAATGATACTTTGTCGTGAGTAGTGTTTATTAATCTTATTGTCGTAAACCATACGAAATAGCCTGTGCGATGGTGGCTGGCCACTGGCCAGAAGTTGGTACAGTTGGGCGACGATACTACGCATCGCAGTTCGTTAGTATAGTGGTGGTCCTTACTGAAGTGCCGAACTCGCCCTTATTGTTATTGCAAAATGTACACTACCGGTATAACTTTGATTTTGCACAAAGCTCACTAATTGTTAAACGCTCATGCATAGTATACTGAATACGATACTGACTGTAGAAAATTCACACACTCAGACTTCCTGAAATGAACAAAGCTGTTAGCTCATACACACTTAACATTTTCCAGGGCTTTTCGGAGAACGATTTCGCTGGCAGCACGGGTGATGGCACGCGCTTCCCCGAATATGATCTAAATTTACAGAAAAAGTCAGAATGTCGTTCAAAGCAAATCAGCCAAAAACAGATAAGAAATAGCGCGGTAATTGAGGTATAATGCGCCGACTGGAGAATTCAGGTATAATGAACTGACTGGAGATCGTGGTACACGAGTAGTGCTGAAGCGAGCTGAACTGGACATGAAGCATTACCGCAGTTTACCTTATACTTTACACTGTTTACAGTATCTTATCAACTAGTACACTAGCAACTTGTCGGTGTTATTTTGTTTGGTTCCGGTTTAATTTGGAAAAGGTTGTTTTTATTGCCAACAGCATTTAAGCACGCTCAATGGACTGGTCGAGCTGCAAGTTTTTTTCTGATTTTCTAATTGTAAAATAAAAGTTATGTGCAAGTATATTGAATGTGTGTCGCACGTGTAGTGTATTCCCTGTTTTTACGGCATTTTCAGATGGAACTGGTGTAATTTTCATCTGTTTTGCGCCTACCACATTTTACTGGCCTGCGGCTTGCATTTCGTGGTGAGTAACTATAAGTTCGCAGCAGTTAGGCATGCGGACTAGAATTTTGTAAACCAGGGGTTTCTAAACCGGTCAGGATTACGAAATTGATAAGAATATATTGTAAGGTAAATGTTTTCATGACTACAATTCATACCGCGCCACGCTCCAGTGTGGCAATAGCATCCTCCAGATTTTTGGCCGGCTTCTCGAGAACAAAGGCTTTTCTGCACTCGGCATCAGTCGATCCCGGTAGCGGAATGCCCTGGCGGTGGTGCTCGTCGATAATGATTTCATAGGGAATGCATCCTTCAAAGTGGCAGTGTAATTCCACTTTCGGGAGGTTTCGCCATTTGTCAGTGCTGTGTAACTGAAAATGCATGGTGCAAGACTGGAATATTCGCCGGTGAACGAATAAGAGCTCAAAAATAATCGATCAATGCGTCAATTAATTCTGCAGTAATTTAAAATACGCAACCGATGCAGCAAAATCTGCGCACGGCAACTACCTTTATAGCAGCGAACAACGTCGAGCACTGCAAGCGACCAAACTTTGTTTTGAAGAAACCGGATCCGCTTGGCTTAAATTAGCTACATTCTGTCATTAAAGAAAACCGGATCCGTTTGTTGAAATTTCCACACTGGGGGGCGGCGCTAACCGCAGTCGACTGAATAATAAGATGTTCCTGAAGCGAACTTCTCGTCCTTCGGCTCGGTTCGGTTCGCCCGAAACGCAATCAAAAATTTCAAATTGGTGAAAATATCAGTTAAAGAACATGCGCTTTTTTCAAAAAAGTCTCATTGCGTGACCCATCCAGCTCCTGGCTTTAATTTTTTTAAGGAAACCAACAGTCCATCACAACATAAAATAACTGAAACATTAAAGCATTTCATACGAAAAAAATAGCATGATATTTTGAGTTTTGCGAGGAGGGACACAATAAATGGATGCATGACTTTGATTGACACCTCTATTAGCAAGCATAGGCGAATTCTCAAAATAGTCGACCGAAGCGTAGCGAAGGTCCTCTATGTTCAGAATTAATGGGAAGCGTGATGACCGTTCGTCGTCACCGCCACTAAATGCACATATGCACAGTAGCATTGGGAAGAGGTGCACCAATGCGCGGTGGCCGTATATACTCACACCCCATGTAACTGGCGATGTCCGCTCGTCGGTCACCGCCACCAAATGCACATATGCACAGTACCATTGGAAAGAGGTGCACCAATGCGCGGTGGCCGTATATACTCACACCCCATGTAACTGGCGATGTCCGCTCGTCGGTCACCGCCACCAAATGCATATACATGTATGCACGGTAGCATTGGGAAGCGATGCCCAATGCGAGGTGGCGGTATATACATAATCACGCCCCGAGTAACTTGGGTTGCCCGTTCGTCGATCACTACCGTCTGATCTGAAAAAGGAGAATGCACCGTAGCCCCGTACATTCAGGACCTTTGAATATTGTGGTGAACGTGGTGTTGGACACATTTTGAATCTGCTTTCCCAACAGCCGACAATGCGCTTGTAAAGCACGTAGTCCACTTCAACTGGAGGGGCGAAGCTCCAGTCAAACGGATGAAATGACGGGTTCAGTTCGTCAGTTCGGGCCTCCAGTATAGGCGTTCCCATTAGTTTCACTTGAAGTATACCGCTTGCTTAACCGATAGAACCATCCGTCGGTTCAGAAAAAATCCGTTGTACGTAAATTCTGCTCTTCCGCGATTTTGTTTAATGTCATGTCAATGTTGCCTCCTCAGCTTCTCAAGGCTACTGACAGAGGTTGCCATTTAGTCAAACAAGAAGCCATTTAGTCAAACAAGAAGTCCTACCGGCAAAGCCACTAAACCTAACCTCCCTCTCCACCTCCCCCCCCCTGGCTTCGCCGGCATAAATTAATATTTTTTCATAGTGTATGATCTGACCTGTACATTCTTAAGGGGACCGGACTGGCAAAAACGCCCAGCAGACATTTTTGCTTTTTTCGGAGTAACCGTAAAAATCTCTGATCCCGAGTAATACAGTTTGTCTAGCAGAGAAGACAATATTTCTAAGGTAAAACAACATGATATCTGCTTGGTGTAGCAGAAATTACATTTAAACAAAACCGTACGCTTGCGAAAACACAGTTATGAGTTAGTAGAGCAGTGGACGAATTTTCTGTTAGATGGCTTTCCCGATTTCATTGATGCTCTATTGATGCTCTGGTAATGCTGCTCTGTTGAAAATAGCTTAAACTGCCTTACCATTAGAGGCTTACCACAAACTATTGTAATTTAGACACATATTCCTGCTGCCCTTCGGTCATGCAGTGCCCGCAAAAAGCGAGTGCACTTTCCTAATTTAAATATATTCTAAAGCTAATAAAATTTTCAAATAAATGAGTTAGGAAGATCATGGTAGTCGTTGGTACAAGTGGTTTTCGGGAACCAAACTTGAAAAAGATTTTGTTCTTTAACCAGATATAATGATTAGGGTATAATTAAATTCTGAACAGCTATTGGAATGCTTCTACAAAACAACCCCACGTCCAACGACCTACGATTTCATAAGTAATATGCCTGCATAGTGCATCAAATATAACTGACAACAAGTTTCGAAAATTATGTATGCATATTTTGCGATTGTGGTTTGTGCCTAATTGCCTAAAAGAACAGTGCCGGACGCAGTGTATCCGCTATGGTGTGTTGTACTTATAGCCTTCCAACCGTTTCTTAATTTCTGAATTATTATTCTTTATTAGCGCAAGCCAGTACCACTCATCCAGCTTATAAAAAGAAGATTTAATTACAACCCAACAGTTTTCAATTATTGGTTAGTATGTTAGTGCCAACAATCAGCGGCGTCTCGAAAGTACAGTACGTAAATTATACAAATGGAAATCTGCAATCAGCAGTACAAGCACTTTTACAACCAGCACTGGGCAGGAATCGCTTCTTCTCCGCTTCCATCCTGACAGTGTGTACCTACAGCTGAAATCCAGTCCACGTCATGGCCGTCCTTGCATAAAAACAGCAATACTGCGTTCGTGATCTTGTCTATTGTAGGCTGCAATTTAGTACCATAATAAAATATTTAATAATACATAACTTTATTTAACATCGGGACGCTGGACATAGTTTTAAAAGAGACCAGTAAGGTTTATATAAAAAGCCATATAACTTTTGAATACCTTTTTGATAATAACACATGTACACTGAGCCATAAATACTCGATAGAAAGAATGTATTCTCCTAATAAATATCTTTTGTTTTGCGTTCGCTAACCCTAAAATGAGAGAAAGCTCAAATAGGTAATTAAGTTAATGAAAACAATGCGAGTAATGTTACAGCTGCATGGCGTCAAAAATACCACAAATGCGTTTAATACAAAAAGATGTACAGTACGTATGTCCCACGTACCTCGTGAGTGTACGCCACTTCCGCTATACAGGTACCTATCAGCTTTCCACTCCGACTCACACAGATCCGACTTACAGCTTTGCATTTCGATAACGTTGATTGCGGGTGCCAGGACAAAGAACATAGCGAAGATGTGCGTTCTCCTTATTGGAAAAGAAGTAAATATTGGTAAGAAAGCTAAGTTAGCTTATTGAAAAAGTTAGTTATTTGTTTTTCTTTATTTGAAAATGCAGTAAACCTATCTAACCCGACATTTTATTCACTTTTAGGCAAATGGCAAAAGTAACCTGAACCATGTTATTATCCTTTTTAACAGTATTGGGCGTTTATGTTTGTGTGAGTAGTAGTTTGCGGCATTAGAATAGGAGAATCAGAATCATGGCTGATGGCTAAATGTTCCCCGTGGCGAAATACCCGAAATACTTGCATATGCCCGGTCAATACGATCACGAGTTATGTTAGCGGTAAAGCAGGATTATATAGTATATAACGGCAGTCAGCAACTTAAAAACGACAAAAATTTGCCTGTGGCGTACAACCGCTTTATTTGGTGCGTGTATGAGCTCAATTAACGATACGATATTTTACCTTATGTAGAGTTCTGTCGAATCGCTGATAGTACAGGCAGATGTATAACGAGGAATCACACTATGTGCTCATACTGTATATCTATATAGCTACGGTTTACAGGAAGCAAGAGGAGCCATCAGCCGAGTCAGCTGACTGCGTAATCGCCGTGGGTTGGTTTATCTGGGCGCGATACTGTACGCCGGGTCATCTGCATTTTTACAGGCAAACAAACATGGTGAACACAAAATACACCAGCACCACTAATGCTACAAGTTTTGGCAGTACGAAAACAAATCTCATTTCGCACATTCCCTATGTTGGAGCAGGCAAAACCAAAAAGTGAGCAAAAAACTGTAACAAAAATTGTAACAAACTGAAAGCTGTGGTCAACCTAATAAGTTTAAAGAAGCACGAGACCAGCCGTTGACCCCTCATTCCCTTGTATCCTTCCGCATTACCTGTATTTACGGTACAAAAGTGTCTTTCCCGTTAAAGAGCCGGTGACAAGCGATGATGCGGTGCCGACCTTTGGAATCATCGCCGCTGTACTCTAATGCTGTGACGGCATATTCAGTTACAGTGCTTGTACTTCAGTAGCGCAACAGCCATGTCAAATGCATTTAACGCTCAAGGAGTGTGGCTTTGCAAATTGCGCGTACGTCAATATCTGTTTTTCACTGTACCTACACGTAAGAGATTATTTAACAGGCTCGTAGAGGTGTTTGATCCCTAAATGTGGATCATCAGGTAAAAAGAGCATGGAAAAACTGATTGTGAGAGTGGATTCGTGTTTGCCTCCGCTCGTAATGTATGCGGCCCCGGCACGGGCTGTCCTGATTATGAACTTATTCCACTACGTACAGTCTACAGATACTTGTCTATATTGTCCTGTTTTTTTCAAAATAATAAGCAATATCCCCCCCCCTCAAATGCACAGGTGTGCCTGTGCATTTGAGGGGGGGGGGATATTGCTACACAAAATAAACGTCAGCATAAATTATAAAACTTTTTCTCCATGAATTTCTTTTATCTTCCTGTTGTAGTGTAGTGTCGTTTATTTTTTAATGGTACCACATGATTTCGCACGAACTGGCAGCAGCTGGTTTACGGAGAAAAGTGAAAGCTGTAATTCTTCTCATAATCAGCCGTCAAAGCCTGTGTACGAATTCCATATTCATGGCAGTTTCCTCCAGGCACGTTATACGTAGAAAACATTTTAATGCACAACATGCCGTCACCCAGCGATAGAATCGATAAATTTCACAGCAGGCACAGCCATGATGTGGAGAATAATCTGATTAAACTATCCCGCAAACCCAAAAAGGAAATAACGTTAGAAAGTTATGTATGTCACTATAAGAGGAATGTCCGCTTGTTATCCTAGAAGGCCACCGCCTAACGGCAACGCCAATCCGGCCGTATCCGTTGTGCATTCCGTGACCTCCCATTCCCACGGCATTATTGTAACCATGTAACCGGACGCTGCAGAAATTAAACGCCGTTAAAAGGCTATCTTATTTTTACAGATTCATACATTAG